AAGTATACAATTTGATACATACAAACATATTTATATGTCCATGAAACCATCACCACAATCAAGATAATGAACACATTCACCACCACTAAACAATTCCTCGTGCCTCCTTGAAACTCCTCCCTCCCTACGCCAACCCGTTCCACCCCCAGGCAACCACTGAACTGCTTTCTGTCCTACGGATTGGTTTACATTTTCTATAATTTTATATAAATGGAATCACACAGTACATGCTCTTTTTCTGGCTTCTTTTACTCAGAGTAATTATTCTGAGAGTCATCCATGTTGTTGCATGTAACCTGCCTGATCTTGCACCAACTTCTCTCTACAGCCCTTGGCTCTTGGCCTCTCCCAACAGCCGGTCTCTCCCAGTTAGTCCCCTGAAGGTGTTCTTACCCCTTTAGCAGAAGCAGGGTAATCTAGTGACAGGCCTTAGAAAGCTGTTATAATCCATCCATTCATCCCACAAGTATTTATTAAGCAACTATTCTATACCACGCACTCCGCTAATTAACCAGGGGCACCACAAACACGACAAATATCCAGCTCAATTATTTGAGTAGTAATAAATATTTGCTGAATAAATGAAGGAATCTGAGGAACGCCACCTAGCACTAGCCCCTGCAGCAGCAGGTGAAATGGAACGAGTGTGTACCCGGAATGAGAAGACCTGGATTCCAGTCACCAGCCTGCAAGGTATCATATAGGCACGTTCCTTGACCTCTCTCACTGGTAAAATGAGAATAGTAATCTTTGTGCCACCTCACTGGATTGTTTTGAAGATCAAGTGAGATAACAATGAGATAACTACATTCTGTGAAACGCAAACCACCCCGTGAATGTGAAAGTTTATTACTTGGGGTTTAGCCAACCACGAAGGAATGTGTAAGCATAATAGCTGTCAGGTTTTGCAAGCCTACTGTTTCCGATTTTGTGCTAATTGCTTTTCAGTATTATCTGATTTTATCCTCACAACAACCCTGCACAAGAGTAAGTATCCCCATCTTAAAGATGACGAGTAACTTGTCCAAAATGACAGAGCTAGTAAACAGAACAGGAGGAATTTGAATTGGAGTCTGTTTGGCTCCAAAGACACAGCACGTGTGTATGTGTTCAGGCAGCTACTGGAGAACAGTTATTTCTCCCCCACTCTTCTGATTTAACTTTCTTACAGCTGAGTAGAACAGTTTATTCAGCAGTATAACACAGTTTGCATTTGAAAAGCCAAATATCCATTAAAGAGGCAAGAATTCAAACATCCAAAGCTGATAAATCCAGTGAGTTTTTTTTTTTTTTGTAATTCATCCAAAAAGAAATTTTAAACACTATTGAATGTCCTTATTGCATTTATAGAACCAGACTGCTGGGGGTTGGAAGGGACATTCCTTCACTGGCTGCTCAGACCATGCCTGGCACTTCCTGGGATAGGGCACTCACCACTCCCCAAGGGCACCCATCTCATCCTGGGATGGTTCTGCTAAGATGCACTCATTCATTAATTCCATTAAATGCATTACCTAATATGTTACAGAGCTCTTGTGTGAAGAGCTGGAGAGACACATCTAAATAAAATATAGTTCTAGTTCTCAAGGAGCTACATATACCTATCCTCTATCTTCCTGTCGATTATAATGATCCTAAATCAGATACTGATTTACAGAAATTCAGCTTAACACAATTTTTCATGTCATGTGCCTTCACTAAGAGAATAAATTGCTTCCTTCAACTCTTTATTTGAATTTAATAGGCCATGGATTTTATTTCATGCTCTCCAAAGCACAAGAAGCCACTGATATCCACTTATTAAAATTAATTCCACAGTTAACCTTTCTGGAGAAAGGAACTTTTTTTGCAAGTCTACTGTGGACAGGCCCCTGTTCTGAGTATCATGTGGGGGTGCAGAGAAACTAGGGTTTTAACCCCTCAGAAGGACGGGATCTTTATATGTGCACAGCTCTATCAATTAGATGCTACATGAGTAACCCTGGCCGTAGCTGCTGGAAGAACGGGAGGGGGATGTCATGATGCTGGGGAGGTCGGGAAAATGGAACTTGAAGTTGTGTTGGATTTGGCTAAGCGGCAGGATGTGAAAGGCATCCCAAGCAAGGGGAAGATTGTGAGCAAGAACAGGTGATGCTTGAAGCAACCTGGCTCAGCGGGAGAGTGGGTAGGAGGAAGATCAAGGGTGGGCTAGAGCCGCCTGCAGCGTCCTCCAGGCAACGGTAAGCTCCCGCAGGTTGAAGTGCGGAAATGATGCAATGAAATGAATGTCTGAGAGTTGAGTAGAGTGACAGGCTCAAGCATGTAGGATGGATTCTGAAATGAGTGCGATATGCCGAAGATCATCCATTGGCTTCTGAGCAAGTATTTGCAGTTTATTTTTTAAAGGATTTTATTGCCAAGAAATATAAACACCACCATTTTGGCAGAAAAACACAACAAAATGTGTTAAGAGTTCCTCCTGCTGTTTTATGCAAAATCTCAAAACCTAGCCTTGTCACCCTGGTATCACCCCTGCTTCTGATTTAAAATAAATGTTCTAGACACACAGTGAGGGTCCAACAAATGCTCGTTCAACTCAAATGAGGAGAGCTAGCTTTTAAAGCAAAAGGGGAAAACAGATTAGGAGGCTGCCAACTGACTCCTCCCTCTTGGAGAGGCCCAGGGAAAAGAGCATGTTCTAGGAGGAAGATCTGAATTCTAGTCTAGCTCACCCACTGGCAGGCTGGTGCCCTCAGGCAAGTCACTTTACTTCTCTGGGGCTTTTTCCTGACTTGTGAAATGACATCAAATCCCACATTCTGGATTCAGACAGATCTGGGTTCTGCCACCTCTAGCTCTGTGATCTCTCAGAGCTTCAGTATCCCCATCCCTGAAATAGAGATGAAAATAGCAATGTCTCACCAGGCTGTTGCAAGGACTTAAAGGAGATAATGTGTGTGAAATGTTAGCACATTGATCCATAGAAAACACCCCATAAATGTTAGCTACTCTGATTTCCAGTTGTAGAATTTTGTGATCTCAGCTACTCAACATGCAGTGATGTTGTATGGCAGGGTGTAACATGGTGCAACTCAGGATATATTCAGCTTGCAGAAGACCCAAAGACCTCAGAACAAACTCTTGAAAGACTGTCATGTAGAAGAGGAAAAATATTTTTTCTATGCTTCTCCAAAGAATTTAACTAGGCCCAGTGGGCAATGCAGTATAAATTGCTAACAATGTGAAGTGTCTGCAAAATGGAATGAGCTACTTCATACGGTAGTGAGTCCCCTGTCACTGGAGGCATTCAAACAAAAGCCAGACGACTGTTTATCAATGATCAATGTAAAGAGCTATATGAAATTAGATCTAAGAGCTCTTCCAATTCAGATTTTATGAAAAAACCTCTAAGGCCTTTGTGATGAGACATTTTGATGAATGTAAGTTTCAAAAGATCAAGCCAGAATCAATATGTATTCAAATTTTAAGAGTATAAGGGTTCCTCTGTAATTAAAAACGTTTGCTTTGCTTTTACAGTTTCATCATTTGGCTAGTGGATTTTAAGCAGAAGCATCCAAGGAAAACAAGGCCTGTGTGAAAACAAGACAATTTCCTTTCACTGTTACCCACCTTTTTTTGTGTGCAACAAACACTCGTTACAGCAAAGTCTCCTTATGTACAATGAAACAAGGTCAGAGGTAGATTTGATATTAAAAATAAAAGACCAAAAACTTATTTAAGTGGTAATTTCATAATAGTTTTAAATAAATGTTTGGTTTCATTAAAGATGATACTATCAATATTTTCTTGGGTGCAGACACATAATTAAGGTTTTGGTTCAATTTTATTGACAGTTCTTAGATTCCTTCTCATACTTAATAAAGTATGTCACCCCATTAACCCTTGTCTACATCAGCAGAGCAGACGATACAAAACAGGGAAAAATTAAGAACTCACTTATATTTAGTCCTGTAATGCAGACGTTATGTTTTTATTCCAGCAGGTTCACAAGGCAGTTCTCATTCCCCGAGCACATTCTGAATTTAATTGTGGAGAAAGATGTCATGTTCAATTGTGGAGATCTATTGCCTTATGATTTAAAAACTAGTTCTATAACCTTGAGGAAATCATTCAAATTTCCATGGTCTGGGTCCCCTCATCTGTAAAAAGAGAAGATGGACTTCAACCCCTAAGAACTCCTCCAATTCTCACATCCTGTGGATCTAAAACTCACCTGAGGGATTTGCTGTGGGATGACAGCAACACAGTCATTTCCTTGAGTAGTGTCTTGATGACCAGGCAATATTCAACACATATACTGAGAGATAACCATGGCTGACATGGAAAAGAGTACCACAAATTTAAATCATCTAAGAGATACTCTGTGTTTAATGAAGGGCTAATTGTAGAAACTTTTATGAAAGAAAACATTTCAAGCTGTAGTTTTGAAGAATACGTATCCCACAGTTAGCTAGTTCATTAAAAAAAAAAACAACTCCCATTTTGCCAAGGTGGGGAGCCTGGGGGATAACAGAGTTCTAAAGAGGGACAGACTATTGAGAATTCCCAGTAATTAATGCTTATAATTATAATTGACCTTGCTGGTCTATTTTGAGCTTAGTGGTTCAGTACAGAGATACAATGAAAACATGAAATCCAAGTTATTATCAAACCAACAACAAAAAAGTTTGTCACCTGAGTAAAGACTAGTGTCAAGTCCCTATCTTTTTCCTCTTTTCTTCAATGGTGGATGTGGAGTGACTGTCAGCGTCCCACTGGGACCATATGTCATGGCTGAGTTATCACCACCCTTTCCCTCCCTGAATCAGTGGCACCGAAGGGACACCTTTGAGGAGCCTGGTGGCTGGATCACAGAGCTTCTCTCTTCTGACATGTTCACTCACCCCTTGGGAGATCCTCAAGAGCTGCCTACATTGACATGTTTATAGAATTTCTGGCAAAACTATATAAGCCAAACACAAAGTATAGTGAGAAAAAATTCTGACCACCAAATAGTTTTTAAAAACAAGGAAATGTTTATATTTCTTTTAACATTTGACACAGAAGAGGCCACATTTAAATAAACACATTAAATCTTCAGAGCACTTTAATTGCAGTTTTTGGACCTTGGATATGACAAATACTCATATAAGATGTATCCATAATTTCTTTTTATTTTTACAAATTATACCATGATAAACCTTAATAAAAATGACTCATGTGAAATATTTTTATTTAATATTTTATGTTAATCAAATGCATACCACAATAGATTTTTGTTGTTGCTGTTTAAATAGGGAGTTCTCATGATTTTAGTATTACACAAATTTAAGCTGAGACCACACTCAGAAATAAGTTTAGAAAATGGCATTACAAAAGATAGGGAGTGAGTAGTAAAAAAAAAACCCATGCAGGGCTGCTGTGCAGTAGGAAATCAGATGTGTTCACTGCCATAAGTCTTCAGTGCGGCCAAACTTAAAAACCAGTCCTCTGTGAATAAAATAAGAAACATCACATGATGAGCTAAGTCTGGGGGAAAGGAAGAACATGGGAAATTTAGAATGGTGGGAAACCAGCAACAAAGAATGACTGATAAGTTGTATGAAAAACACCATGGGCTGTCTGTATAAGAGCAGAAACCGGTCATCCTAAGGTAGGAAATTCTTCCCCCGTGCTCAACTGTGTTGTTTACCACCTGCTTCCCCCACCCTTAACTTTTGAGCATTGAAGACACACATTCCTCTTAAAAAGCTAACCAGTGCTTAGTATGGAACTGTTATATGTCCAATTTTATCAAATTCATTCAACAAATCCTTTTTGAGTGTAAAGGTGCTAGGTGCTAGACGCCAGGGCTCTAAAGATAAGATATGGTCCCTGCCCTCAAGTTGCTCACATCCTTGATGACACGATGCAGTACGTACGTATTAGTGGTATATATACCAAATGTTAAGGGAGCACAGAAACACATAAAATTTATTCTGCCTGGATGTGTTAGAAAAGGATTCACAGAGGTGGTAATACTAGATGACCACTGAAGGATAAGCAGGAGTTCAAATGGGAGGTTGGTAGGAACCAGAGCTAGTGGGATGAGGAAGGAAGATGTTTCAAGGAGGGAAACAGTGTATCAAAAGGCAAAGAGCAATAAAAGACCATGGGGCCTCAGGAAAATGTGCTTGCAGAGCTTAGCCTAGGGTTTAGGTGGGGAAGTGTCTATAGTTGTCCTTAAGGCTTAAGTTTAAGAGGGGCAAGAGGGCAATTATATGCATAAGAAGATGTATATGGGTATTGATATTGATATTTGAGGTGTAGCAGAACAGGGAAGAGTCCAATATGGCTAGATTATAGTTTAAGAGACAAGGAGGATAGGGAATGGAGGTGGCCAGGGTTTGGTAAGCCAATTGACCAGGGTGGTAAATGGCCTACAGGGGCCCCAGGTGCCTTAAATGAGTCAAGAGGGCAGGTGCCAGCTTGTATGGTCTACTAAAGGGGGCAAGTGGGAACCAGTGCCAGGCAATGAATGAAATGGGGCTACGCAGAGATGCATCCCCTATTTAAAAGGAACAACTATTCAGAAGCTCCAGGCGACTGTTGCAGTGTGGGGTACAGGCTTGTCAGATCTTTCAGTTTTTCAAGAAAAGCCCCAAATTCAGATTTTTATGTAAAATCTCTTGATTTTTCAATATCAGCTCAATAAAACAAAAAAATACTGTATAGGCTAAATCAAACAGAACTGTGGGCAGAATTTGGCTGGATGGCCACTAGTGTTGAACTCTTCTGTAGACAGCTCCGAGTTCTGAAAAATTTTAAGATGGGAAATGAGAGGATTAGAGCTATGTTTTAGCAGGAAAACTGGATCCAAGGGAGGAGCCAGTTAGGGATGCAAACTGCTCAGGAAGGGATGACGACAACCACACATAAACAGTGGAAGTGGACACGGAGAGAACAGGTTTAAGACAATTCAAGAGGCAGATTCAACAGGGCTTGGATGTGGGGGGTAAGTGCGAGGGAAACTGAAGACAGTAGGCATTTCAATGGCATATGCTGCATTTCAATTTGTTTTGTCATCGGTTGTCCAATTACTGGTGTATACTCAGGGTTAAACCCGCAATCATAATGATCAATTTAAAGCAGGTTTCATAGGCTTTTATAAAGGCAAACACTTCAGTGTTTTCGGATGAAAACAAAAATGCAGCCAGGAAGTTGGCTATACTCTTTCGGAAGTATATTAATTTCTCTTTACAAAAGATTTCATAAACCTGCAAACGGTGATTTGATCTCTGCTCTTCCAGTGAATATCAGATCTATTGCTGCAAAAGAGAAAATCCCAAGTTGGTTATTAGGGGTCTCTGCTCTCCAGATAGCTTAAAAGAGAGTCGGTAACTTCGGAACTGGTCAACAGATGAAAACTGTCAACTGTAAAAAAAAAAAAACTGTAAAAAAAAAAAAAAAAAAGAGTTTCTTGGGCAACAGCCAGTCCCTCCTACACCATCACATGGTCACCTTTGGTACTGACATCTGTTTGTGATTTCTGAAATCATAATTTCTAAGATGTTGCTGAGAATTGTTCTGTTATAAATCAGAATGGCAGGTAATCGGTTACAACTATTCTGATAATGGTGTCTATTGGTTGAATTTAATTTCAATTTGCTTATAATATTTTCACACAACCTAATGAGTTTTTAGATTTATTAGGTATAATAGTAATAAATGAGAAATTAACCAAACTCGTCGCATAGAAAACTAATTTATTATAACTAATTTGACAAGTCAATGATTGGTTTCCAACGTTTTGTGAGATGTGGTAACCACTGCATGAAATTATATGTCTTCCCTGTTGGAAGAGAGAAACTTTCCCACCAACCTTCCCCTCTCCATCCTCTGTTCCCCCCGCCGTGACACAGTGACTTCTCTGCCAAAAGCAGCACGGCACGGCGGAGCTTACTGGATCCTTCATCTCTGCCAGAGTACATGACGATTGAAATCAAGAAGGCTGCTGTTGGCCCCTCCCTGTCTGGCTCTTAGTATATCCCCCGCTCCCCCCACTTCATCCTGAAGCTTTCTGTGCCCCTGCCTCTGACCCTGAAGTTGTGGGGCGCTGAGTGCCCCCAACACCTCTACCCTGTGGAGATACTGCAGTAGTGAGCTCAGGACGCCCGGGCCTTCTTTAAAGATGCTCAAGCCTCAGCACTGAGCTGGAAAGGAAACGAAATCCTAAATAGCAACACTGCCCCTCTCATAAACACATGCTACATTACCCAACAAAATAAGAAACCCAAATTTTATTTCATAAGTTGGGGGGATGAGGTTTACTCATTTTGCATTTTTCAAGTACACTGTTACATTCTTTAAAAAAAGGCGGGGGGGGGGGAACAGAACTAATACTAAACTCAGCAAAAGGAGAAAATGTCAATTGAATTCATCCCAAATTTCATCATCAGAGTAGCCAGAGCCTGAACTTTGGAGTCAGATAGCCCCAATTTTAGCCATGATCTCAAACAAGTTCCTGACTTCTCTGCACCCACTTCCTCACATATCAAACGGGGATGATCATGGAGTCACTCCCAGAGTTGCTCTGGGGGTTAACTGAGAGATACGTGTAAAGCACCAAGAATGTGCCTCGTACACAATAATTGCTCAATAAACTTTGGTCATTATTATTTTCTGCATAAAAGTCAATGGATTAACTTTTTTTTCCCTAACTCTTTGGGTTTTCTCCGCTAGTTTCAGGACACAAAGCATGACCCAAAGAGGTTGCGTATTTTGCCACATCTAAGTTCACATTTTTCTTATTTCCAAATTGATTTTATAAAATTGCAAAAAATGCCTGATGGTGGAATGGAATAAGTGTGAATACCAACTGCTGACGATTACTGAAGGGCAACTACAGCATTTCATGAGTTGTTCAAGTAGATATGGGGCATCCATTTTCTTTTTGGGGGTGGGTGGAAAGGGATAGGGAAGGAAAAGTCCTGGAATAGACTGTTCTAGAACATAAAGCAGTTTTTTTTAACCTTTTTTAGATTGGGGACTTCTCTGAAAATCTGATGAAAGCCACAGACTCTTTTCCCAGAAATAAGCAGAAACACCCAATGTTTTACATACGGAAACGTCTGGTGGTTCCCCATCTTCAGAAGCCTACCCATGGAATAGAGGTCAAGAATTCCTGATGCAGAGGATAAAGAGAAGTTTTGAAGGTTTTTTTTTTTTTTGTGGGGGGAGTGGGAGACTAGGAGTAAGGGAAAGGGCAGGCCCTAAGTGTCCAGGAAAGAATGAACACTAGAGAAGATTATTGATAAAAGTAATAAGGTTTTTAGGGGTTTTAGTAATCTTTCAATTTGTCATTGCATCAGAAGGATAAAAAATGTTAGGGCTTTTCCTCTACACCTCAAATTTCATGAACACATTCTAATGACACCAAGGATAGAAGGAACTATAAAATGCACCCAGAAACAAAATTTTAAGGAGAAATGGTTTTAAGCAGGCTTTCATTAAAAGCAACTGTTAGAGATTCAGATTTAAAATGAAGACTGTCAGTGTTACGTAACTAAATCTAAGCAAATCACAGTTCTTCATTAAAGGGGAGGTGATGGCAATTTTAAGAATCAATGTATGTTCCCAAGGTTGGCAGCAAACCAACCCATGTATTAAAAATAGCTTTCTCAGTCTCATTCTTCATATTTTATGACAATAACATGGGGGAGGGGCATTGGACAGGGGTAAATTAAGCAACTAAATATAGTAAAGGACATAAAAGAAACTATTATAAAAAGAGAATTAAAAAAAATAGAATGAAGAATGCAAAACAAACTTACCCAAAAAAGATGAAGGCATTTTGGAAAAATACAGCAATTCCAGGGTACACTATGGTTTTTTCTGTAAAAATAATTATAATATTTAGAGGTTTATGATCTCAAATATTTAGTTTCTGATATACTGGCAAGTATCAGTTTTCCTGCCTAACATAATTGGTTTTTCTGGTAACTATGGCTGGTTTGAGTATTAAATGACATACTACATATGACAGAGTCTAGCTTTGATTTAATAAAAGAGAGCTCCCTTCACTCATTTAACAAATATTTACCGAGTGCACACTATGCTCGGCACTATTTAATGTGCTGAGGATACGGCAGTAAATAAAACAGGCAAATGTTTTTGCCTTCATGGAGCTAGACAATACAGAGAATAAATAAGTAAGGAAAAAAAATGAAGCAGGAAAGGTATAGGAAATGCAGTGAATGATGATATTTATACAGGTGGCCAGGAAGACCTCATGAGAAGGTGACAGTGGCATAAGGACATGAAGAAGGAAGCGAGGGCAGGAGCCATGCAGAAGCAGCAGAACAGCAAGTGCAAAAGCCCTGGGGTGGGAGCATGCTGGTGCATTAGAGGAATGGTCACAGGGCAAAGAGAGAAAAGCAGGGGACGGATCAGAGAAGTACGAGGGCAGGCTGGGGGCAAAGATCCTACAGAGCCTTGCAGTCACAGCGAGGACTTTGATGTTTACTCTGGGTGGAAGAGAAGCCACGGGAGGGTTGTGAGCAGACGTGCCAGGAGCTGACATATTTTCATAGGATCCCTCCGCCTGCTGTGGTGAGAGCAGACAAAACGGGGCAAGGGGAGAAACAGAAACCCAGGAGGAGGCTATTTCAGGACATCAGGCAAGGACTGGACTGGACTGGACTGAACCAGGGTGGGAGCAGTGGAGCAGGTAAAAAGCAGTCAGATTCAAGATATATTTTAATGGCAGAGTCAACAAGGTTTGCTGATGGCTTAGATACGGGGTATGAGAGAAAGAGAGGTGTCGTCTTTGACAGGCCTTAACCACCCAGGGTTTTTGGCCTAAACACCTGGAGGGACAGACTAACCATTCACTAAGATGGGCAAGACTGCCAGGGGAACATTTTGTCCCAATTCTACCCTGGATTGAAGCTGAAATTCTCATAAATTTCTACTATCGGAGCTGTCAGTGATTACTCACTGATTGACAAACTGAGGCACGATGAATAGATGAAGTATCAACTTTTCCTCTGAATAGTTTTAAATTAATCTGATTACCATTACAGCTGGTTTGTACAGCCCTTCATGACTAGAAGGCCACATTAAATATTCCACATTAAATAACTATCACCACTAGAATGGCTCATAAAGATCCTATATAAAGCCCAACTTTATAAATTACAGACCTGCTGCTAATAATTCTCAAAGCATAACCTGGCTCCAGAAGGCTTTAGGAAAATAACTTAAAATTCTGTGTAATGAAGACTTTCCTACAAAAAGGGGCTCTGCATTAATAGTTGCATCTGGGAAAGAAGAATTATCAGTAATTTTATTTTCTTCTTTGAGCTCTCTTATATTTTCAGTTTTCCATTATCAACATCTATTATGCAATTCTCATGAGAAAAAAGTAACTTTTTGTTTTTAAAATATGATGGTGACAAAGATTTTGTAGCAATAAGAGAAGTACTTATGAAATCATGTTAAATGCAAAAAGCTGGGTTCAAAATTGTCTTTATAACTACATAAAAAACACAAGAAAAGAGACCAAAGGAAATATACCAAAATATTTAAGAGCAGTAGATTATTGTTTACTTTTTCTTTTCTTTTCTACATTTTCAGTAATATAGTTTTAACAATAAATTATATGAACAAAAGAAAAAAAATATTAAAAATGCCTCTCATTCCTGTCTGTAAGATTTAAGTGATTTTAATAAAAATTCAGAAAACCCATGATTTTAACCCAAGAATTAGATTTTATTCAAAGAAGTAAAGTATTAAAATATGAACTAGATTAGATCTCTGCTGGTCCAGTTTTTGCAGATCATTAATATTGTATTTTTACTATGATAAGCACAGTCAATTTTATCTGGAACACTGAGTGGATTGCATATTTTTCTGGGGTCCCTCAAGGTGAAATTTCAGCCAGGGATCTAAGAGCAGGCCTTTTCCTGAGCTCGCCTTAAACTGGCCTTTTATAGCAGAGCACATTAAGTATTAACTTACTTTTCTATCTAAAAGGAGATATCGTATTATTAGGGAGGGTTAGCTCAATTAACTTCAATTCTAGGATGTTAGAGCTTTGCAAGGATATTATTCAGCAAATCAAAACTTGCCAAGTAGCGACACAACATATGTATTCTGCTTTTGAGGTTTTTAGAAGCCAAAGAGAAGCAAGGTATGGAGCTGTGTCCCATTCCTCCAGGCTCTAGATTAGAAGCAAAAATACAGAAGAAAGGAATGCTAAAAACATACCACACAAATGAAACGAAATACTGACAGGGAGATGGGAGTTCCCAGGCACAAATGTGCTGCTAGCAGTTAGCTGATCTATATGAAAAAAGCTTTATTCTAAAATAAGCAACTTTAACACAAAATTTCAGTATTCCATCGGAGTAAAACGTAAAGTGTGCTTTCTCTTACCTTTAGCAACATAACCTCCAAAGAGAATCCACATAGATGCAATCAGAGATCCAAAGGCCAACATGAAACCAATGAACAGCCAGATGCGAGCACCTTAAAAGAAGTAACATTTTACCAGAATTGTTTCTCATACGGCAACAGTAAGTTCAACTGACTTTTCAAAAAGAAAACAAAAACCCAAACAGAAAAAACGTGCAGTTGCCATCAAAGTCTAAAATCTGAACACTGGAAGAAGCCGTACTGAGAATCATCAGAGCAGACGCGGGCCATTTCTTATTGGCTGGTCTATATATTCTAAGCATCTATTACTTTCCCCAACTATGTACACTGAGAAAAACTTGACTCAACCTTCCTATAAAAATCTCACAAAATGTCTTTCACCATATTTAGAGGCTCATTCTCCATATATTTTCAGAAATTGTGCTCCAAAGTTTAAAATGCTCCCAGAGAACTTTCAAACGATGACATAGGTATACTTAACAGAAAATTCATATTCAGTGATATGTGAATCTAAACACCACCATACTTCACTCGCAGGGAAGTCAGGTAGCAAAGTAAGTTCAAATTTATTGTAGCTGGCACTTAGGAAAGTTGCATTAAAATTATGTTTACAGAGGAAGACAACCAACTTATAAATCACATTGATATATTTATGAAGATTTGCTATAAAATAAATGGAGTCATTAGACTGCCTAAAATGAATTCTGAGACGACTTTACTTAATTAGCACAAATACATTTTAATCAAAACACTGCCTCATTCACAAAAGGGCAGCAAACAGAATGTTATAAATAAATTTCTGATTTCACACCCAAAACATAAAACAAAAGTTCTGAAATAATAAGCTGTTACTCACAGATGTGATAGTAAAACAAATATAACTGGCTCTGGACCCCCAAAGCTGAGCTAGCTAACAAATTTTATTTAGAGATCTGATGGCCATATTCTAGTCCTAGCTCTAGCTATTATTGGCTTATTATTATCAACGTTGACTGTTAACATTCATTTAATCGTTCCGAGTTCACAAGGTGACAGTAGATCAGTGTTCCTGGATCTCTTCTACTTAAGATCATCTACGAAGAGAGCGAATGAACCAAAGGAGAGTCTAAAAGCATAGACCAGAGCTGACTACTGCAGTTTCTCCTGTTTCACTAAAAAAAAAAAAAAAAGTCACTTGAAATTTGCCTGTATCCAGGTTTATTTTTGTACGGGTGTAATATCATAAGTTCATCATTTAAACTGCTTAATAAATATCTGTACCCTCAAATCTTTGAGTAAACTGGACTCTCTAGGAAACTGTGTCACACGTGTCCTGTATTCTGCCTATCTCGGGTACATGGTCATGGAGTCCAGGGGACATGAGTTCCTCAGTTGAGAAGGAAGGGCCTAGGTGAACCTAAGCACTAAAATTCTATTACTCTATTCAGTTTTGCAAGATGAAAAGAGTTCTGGATGCTGGTTGCACAGCAATGTGAATGTACTTAACACTACTGAACTGTACACTTAAAAATGGTTACAATGGTAAATTTTATGTTGTGCATTTTAAAACATACAAAAAACTATGATTCTAAGGTATTTCAAAAATGCTAATTCAATCAAAGAAGGTTGGCAAAAAAGGGAAGAAAATAATTTATACGGTATAGCTTAAAGTACTATAAATTCTATTTTGCACATGTATTCCTTACTATATAACGTCCTTTACTGCATACTGTATACATTTATCTACATATTATCGTACAGGGTTACATACTCAAAGCTGCATATTCGTACCATATGGCGAACTTTGACCAAATGCAACTTTTACCTTATGCCTTGGAACCTATAACCTCTGCTCAGATACACCCCCCCCATCCCTGATCTGAAGGAGATAGACAAGTGGCCCTTCCATGTATAATTCACATTTTAAGGGTATATAGTAAGATGTTGTTTGCACCTATTTACCTGTTTGACCCAGGCAACCTTCACTGTAGCTATCACCTCGGACTTGTCCATTCGATACTGCATTAATCCTGTGTGAATACAACAAAACCAAGAAATCAGGGTCTCTGACTCCAGGAGGAAACTATCCATGACATCACATTACCAGATACAATAAGCTGGAGTTCCTCAAATTTAATGTAAGGCTTCATGAGTCTTGAGTAACGGTTCACAGGACCTTAGGCAAGTCCCTTCAACTAGAGACCCTCTACAGCAGTGGTTATAGTGCTCAGACCAGCAGAACCAGCATCACCTGGGTACTCTTTAGAAAGAAAATTCCCTTGCTCCACCCCAAGTTTATGAAGCAGAAACTCTGGGTATGGGGCCCAGCAATCTGAGTTTTAACAAATCCCTCAGCTGATTCTGACGCTTGTTAAAATTTGAGAGTAAAATTCTCAAAATTATTCTTGCTAAGACTGGAACAATCTCTAGTTTGGTCCTATCTAGTTTTCCACTTGTACACACCAGACGTACTCAGCACGAAGAGATTCAAGTGGTAAAATCTCCTTTTTTCAATCCCTGATACATGTTCCAAACATAAGAAGTCTTTCACTGACTTTCAGAGGATACCACTCTAAGTTGAGATAGCCTTGCTTTCTTTAGAAGTACCCTTGGAAAATTTTAAATGTCATGGGAAAATGTTCACAATATATCTAGTTAAAAAGTTAGAAAACATGATATATATATTTGTGTGTGTATGTGTGTGTGTCTACCACTAGAATGTAAGCTTCATGAGGGCAGGGGCTGTGTCTGTCTGGTTTCCCATTTTTATTCTCAATGCCTAGCAGGTGATCAATACATGTGTTGAACAGATAAACCCTAATTTTTTCACAATAATCCGAAGTCTTAATTTATTCATTCAAATCTAAGTTTTAGAATGATCAAAATACTCATAATTATTTTCAGTAATCTCTATATTAACTAAATTATTTGGTATGTACAGTAAGTATATTTTAAAACAAGTTTCATATTTAAAAAAAAATGCAGATGTTCTCAGGTTAGTGGTTCGTAGCTCTTGGTTCTCCTTGCTGAGCCATCTAAATAAATTTCATAGCCCGCTGTCAGACAGCCATGACCCTGCCTTGTCAGCCTTTACTATCAGGCACATTCTGACATGAACAATCATGATTTGTTCTCTGGTATTACCAGTTTTTCATATAATCTCATACCTACAGAAAACTTGGAAATATAGTTCAAATAGCCCCCATAACTCCAGAAATTTGTAAGTATTTCTTAAAAACAAGACAGTTCTACAGAACCACAATACAGCCAGCAAAATCAGGAAATTAACAATGATCCATTACCACTATCCAATCATCAGATCTTATTCAAGTTCCCTAGTTGTCCCAATAATGCTCTTAAGAGCAAAAGGATCCTGTCCAGAATCAGGAGGTACATTTTGTTCTCATGTCTCCTTAGTCTTCTCAGTCTGGAACAGTTCCTCCATGTTCTCTGGCTTGTAAGACCTTGACACTTCACTCCAGCCATACTGGTCTCCTTGCCATAAAGCCTTTGTACTTGCTGTTCTGTCTGTCTGGAATGATCCTCTCATATATCCCCATGATCAGTTCCTTCATTTCTTCAAGTCTTTACTCAAAAATCACCTTCTTAGTGAGGCCTTCCTTGACTCTATTTAAAATTTCTACATGCTTGTTGACATCTCATATCTCCCTCCTCTGCTTTTTTTCTCTAGCACTTATCCTTATCTTACATACTATATATTTAATTTATTTCTCTTTAGTTACAATCTACCTCATTCATTAAAGTATAAATTCCACAAAGGCATGGATTTTTCCTGCTGTTATTCACTACTGCATTTCCTGTATCTAGAGCAGAGCCTGGGAATATAGAAGCTTAATGAATATTTGTTGAATGAATGAATAAACAAACCCTTAGACAAAGTACATGGTTTCTGACCTAAAAGGAAAGTTATACACATTGGTAGTATAGAAATAAAAGGACAGCTGAGAAAAGCTGGGAGACAGAAATGGGAGAGGAGAGGTAGAAGAAGAATAGAAAAGAGGACTGTTGCTTTTCTTTATAATTTGACTTTACTTTATAATTTCTTTATGATTTGACTTTTAAACCACATCCAATATGTTAATTTGGTAACATTTAAAAACTTTAACTCTACTCAAATGTACGCAAAAGATTTTTATTTTGTGACAATCTATGTAAGTCGAGTCACTAACAACACTTACATCAGGAAGGCTATGGTTGCTATGACACCGCAGGCGTGGTATGAGTGGTTGAAGTCTTCCATCGTAGGATAAATGACAGCCGCATCTATGATGATCCACCACCCTGTAAAAAACTAAAACAAACCAAAAAGGGGGATACCACGGAGAAATTACAGTAATTTCATATCTTACCAGCTAAAAAGAAAGGTATCTAAGTGAAGAAATCCCTTCAAATGAATTTCAAAATTTTCTTAAATGTTCCAGCAGTTTCTTGCATATAATTTGCACATGGCTTAATATCTGATTGAATATTAGATATCCTTAAGCCTGACAGCAATTAATATTTATTAACATGAACTTTTCTAAGTCTACTTCAGTCGTTATTTTATATTGTCATAATAAAGTCTGTAATCTAATTTTGTGAGCTAGAAATAAATTATAGTATCTCATGGCAGGGGAAAGGAAAAAAGTGATTCAGATTCCAAAGGACAGAAGGAGTGCCCTGTTGCTGATATATTATAAGCCTCCAGAAAGAGCTATTATTGAAAATGAAAAAAAATCATTCGAAATAATATGGGGAATAATTACTGTGGATAGAATTTTAGCTTTTCTCTTGGTGGTGTGAAGTAAGTAATGGTTCTGCAGTTCTGCTTTTCCTTTTGATGAATTACAGTGCAGTCTGCAGATGGTTTCAGGTACTATGCTAAATTCAGTTTCAACACCAAATTATAATCTATCTTAATTGAATCTGGTGTGGATATTATCAAGGATAAATATATAATGAAAAAACATTAAAACTGCACAGGCGCCAGCCCGGTGGCATAGTGGTTAAGTTCGAGCACTCTGCTTCGGCGGCCTGGTATTCACGGGTTCAGATCCTGGGCTCAGACCTACACACTGCTTGTCAAGCCAGGCTGTGGCAGCATCCCACATACAAAATATAGGAAGACTGGCACCGCTGTTAGCTCAGGGACAATCTTCCTCAAGCAAAAAGAGGAAGACTGGCAACAGATGTCAGCTCAGGGCCAATCTTCCTTACCAACACAAAAACAAAAACAAAACAAAATTGCACAAATATTTTTTATCACCTGAGCAGGAACTTACAATAAAACGTTATTAACCAAATTCTGATAAGTAGCTTAGGTTTTGAAAGTAACCCCCTTCTCTACCCTGCACTCCCAGCTCTGACCCAGTTAGCTCCAGGAACTGCCATCTTCTGGCAATTACTTAAATTACTATTTTAGGCTAATCAAATTCTTTTTATCAGGTTATAGACAGATCCATACTCTATTAATGACATTTTTACTGGCTAGCACAAGTACTTTCACTTTTTTTTTTCACCTTCAGCTCAAAGTATTCAAGATATTTTCTTTACAGACTAAAATTTAAAGCTTTTTTTTTTTGATGTTTGTAAGAGCAAGATTTCTAGTTATATATTTTGCCATTACTTTGGAATAATTATTTTTCATAGGTTATAAGCGTCAGAGACTAAGCAAAGAGGAGATATTTAAACGCAAATTTTTTTTTGTTTACTTAAAACTCAACTCTTTAGAGCATGAGACTACATAAGGGCATAAAACACAAATATCAGATGCCTTGAGGGATTTGCAATGTAGGTAAGAATTTTACACTCTAAATTTCTTCTAAGCAATATATTTGAATGAGTTCCTTCCTTCCTTCCTTTCTTTCTCCCTCTCTCCCTTCCTTCCTTTTTAAATGAGATTGAGAAGAAAGTTAACTCTGGTTTATGGAGAAATGCAATCATATCTCTTGACCGGTTTTGACCTGATTGTTTCTTAACCACTTCCTGGTAACTTAATGTGCTCGTTAAGAGGAGGCATAATCCATATAATGAATAAATGTATAAAATATACTGTCTTATTATACCATTTTTACCATGCAGTTAAAGAAAAACAATCAATGGACTCATCAAATTTCAAAACATAATGGGAACTCTTGAAATGACTCAACTTCCTCATAAACAATATCAACATTTATTAAAATAAATCCAGTGCTCAAAGATAAAATAAATAGTACATATTTCAAAACATCATGCAGAATTCAAAACACATAAAAAGAAACAGACCAAAACAATGAAGGCCCAAATTATCAATGACACTTACTAGAACACCAGCAGTAACGGAAGCAATAGTATTTCGCTTTTCTCCCCAATCAACGCATTCTGAGCATCTCAAGCCTTCTAGAAATCCAGACATTTTTTTCAGGTCACTTAAAAAAACAAACAAAACCAACTAAATAAAGTACTCCCATTTACTTGCTGCAAATCTGATTTATGTTGCTAGAAAATAATAGTTCAAGAATAATTTAATAAAAGTGAAGTTACAAATACTTTATTTTGACTACACATACTTCAGAATATTTGATTTAGCTTTTTTTTTTAATTTTATTTATTTATTTATTTTTCCCCCAAAGCCCCAGTAGATAGCTGTATGTCGTAGTTGCACATCCTCCTAGTTGCTGTATGTGGGACGCGGCCTCAGCATGGCCGGAGAAGCGGTGCATCAGTGCACGCCCAGGATCCGAACCGGGCTGCCAGTAGCGGAGCGCGCGCACTTAACCGCTAAGCCACGAGGCGACCCTGATTCAGCTTTTGATGAACTTCCACACTACAACTTTGGAAAACAAAATTTGGATTCATTTAGTACTTTTTTAACTTAAAAAAGGGCTTTGGCACATTTAAGTAATAGGAACCAAGGTGGGTATCCAAATACCGAAAAAGTTTTATAATGATTATTAATTTTAATTTCAAACCAAGTTATTATATGATTTAGATATTTACAACCCGGGAGCACTAACATAGCGGAGAGACAAATGATAAACTTTGGCTCTGAGTTAAAGCGTGGACTCACACGAAAAATATTTCTCTTAGGAATTTACACAGTTTATCATAGAACCTGTTTCCTCCAACTCAGATTAAGAAATTAAACACTGCACTGCAGGTCTTCTACCCACATCACTTCCTTTCACTTCATTATATTTTCCTTCTCCAAGCTTGCCTCTTGGTGTCATTCCTATGTGAAGTACATCCATTTCATCCTAATATCTCTATCTCTGATTCTAACAGATGTTTTCCAGTCAAAAAAACCCACAAAATTGAAGTTAATATTAATTGAGACCAAAAAAATCCACTACTAAACTACCATAGCCGACCTAAATTGTCTTAAGAAATTACATAAAACATTCCTCCGAGCTGGGCTGTACAGACCTAGCCTGAGACACATCCATATTATCTCTACTTCGGAACATGAAAAGCCTGAATTACGTATAACTTGTTAATAATCAAGAAAACACCCAAACTCCTACAGCGAATCTGAGCCCGTCCATTAAGCTACTCTGTAGTCAGCAATCACGGTTGTCCAAAAAACGTGATATCCTAAAAAAGAGCAATGAATCCTATTGTAAACTCCCTTTAAAAAATTAAATATTAAAAACTGATTATAACCAGTGCTAATATGCCTTTAGGACAAGTTCAATCTGGAAAATTCACTCCTTCTTCCTTCCCTGGGACGAACAGCAATCCAAAAAGTGTTATTTTCGGTTCATCCCAAGGGCCCCGCCCCGAACCATTTTTCTCTGGGTTGTTAGCTGCACACTCAGGCTCAAACTCCGCCCTCCAGACTCGGATTTTAGGTGCAGAGTGGACTGGGACTTGGAGGGTCAGTAACACTTCCTCTCGGGGGCTCGGTTTCTCCAGCTCTAAAACAGGGGGGACAAGGCGATTTTCAAGGAACCGGTGACGTCCCGGGGAGGGCCGCGGCCCAGGAGCCTGGCGGAGTCCGGTCGCGGTCGTCCTCTCCCGTCGGACACAGGTCAGGAGGAAGTGACCAGGCAGGGTCAGCCCGAGCCTGCAGCGTCCCAGAGGAGGCAACGACTCAGTCAGCACCCGCCGGGCACACGGTCCCGGGCCCGAGCCCTATCTTGGGCTGTTGTCTCCCTCCCCTTCCCCACTCCCGCTGGGCACTTACGACCAGCCCCGCCCGTGCAGTCAGTCAGTCCGGAGCCCGGAGTCCAGCCTCACCCGGCCGCCTCACTCTCGCGCTCGCAGCCAAGAAAGCAAAACAGCCACAGGCCGCCGGATACCCGGATGGAACAGCTCCGAACCCGGGCTCGGTCGCGCATGCGGAGACAGGGGCGTAGGGCGGGGCGCGGGGAGGGAGGAGAAAGGGCGGAGGACGGGCCGGAGGAGCCACGCCCACCGCGCCAACGTCTCTGCGCATGCCCCGGGCTCCAGCTGCAGGGGCTTTCCGCTGCGCTCAGTTTGCATCTGGACGTCGGGAGTGGTAGTTGGGTACACGTTTCTAGCGTAGATGGGAGAAGTGGCTCTTTATCCCAAGCTTTCGAGAGGAAGGCGTCTGTTGGGCCTTTGTATCTCTCTTGAGTGAGGTGGTAAGTTTTCTAGAGCTGGGGTCGGTCTTGCAGTTATCTCAGGCGTGGGTGGCAGGAAGAGTGCCGGGTCCCGCGTGGTGCAAAAAGTGGGTCTGGTTTTGGGGGCCCCCAGCACTAGTTGGGGTTTTTAAGTCTTGTTTATTTTCTCAGCGCCGGGCCCCGCCCTCGCCGTAGCTCCGCCTCCGGGAGGGGCGGGGGCACTACCGGGAGGCGGGACCTCCCGGTTCGGCGTGCGCGGTCCTGTGCGGCGCTAATTCTGGCGCTGTGACCCGCCTCTGGACTTGGCCTTTTTTCCTCTTTGCTTTAAGGCACAGTTTCTCAGCCTAGGCACTACTGATATTTTGGGCCGGATAATTTTGTATATGAGGGGCTGGCCTGTGCACTGTAAAATGCTTATCTGCATCACCGGCCTCTACCCACTAGATGCCAGTGTCCTTCTCCCAGTTGTAACAACCAGAAATGTCTCCAGACTGCCAAATATCCCCTCCCGGGGAAAATCGTCGGGGTTAGAACCGCCGTTTAGGAAATAATCTAGGCTTTTGGGAAGTGACCCTTTTCAAAAGCCAGAAACAACGATGTCTTAGCTACGTGAACGACTTGTGGCCAGGCTCGCCCCTTCTTCCAGAGGCTCTCGGTCCCTTTCCAGCGTCTCGAGTCGGTCGTCATCCAGGAATCGGGCCGGGCCCGGGAGAAGGAGCAGGTCAAGGTCTCATTCCAGAAAGCGCCACCTGAGAAAGTCCAGGCGCCACTCGCGGTCTTCCTCGCGGAGCCGGTCGAGTTCCCGCAGCAGTCCGGCTCTCGGGGAAGGTCGTATTACAGAAGGGCCTACGCGGTCTCGCCGGGGCGACGGTACTACGGCTTTGACCCTATGGTGTACCCGAAAGAACACAGCAGTTGGAGGGAGAGATCCAGGAAGAGGTCGTGGAGCAGAACTCCGTTTCACTTAAGTGAAAAAGGTGGGTGGGTCATTTGTCGTTAAGAGAAGCGCATAGGTTCACCTTTTTTAGATGTAAGGCGACACTATATGAGTAAGCTAAGGAACCAAGGTTGTTGTGTCATTTAATTTCTTTGATTTCCTTTGATGCATGAAATCTGTGAAGCTTTGGGTTTTGGGGGGGGACATTAGCTGATTAGTAGACAAACAGTACAATGCAATCCATAGCCTATTTTTAAAGGGACATGATACCCCTCAGGATTAAAGATTAATTTTGACTGTTAAATGGCTCAAGATGGAGGAATCTAGTGTAGGCAGTTGTTTTTTTTTTTTAATTTATTTTATTTTTTTCCCCCAAAGCCGCAGTAGATAGTTGTATGTCATAGCTGCACATCCTTCCAGTTGCTGCACATGGGACGCTGCCTCAGCATGGCTGGAGAAGCGGCGTGCCGGTGCGCGCCTGGGATCCGAACCCAGGCCGCCAGCAGCAGAGCGAGCGCTCCCAACCGCCAAGCCATGGGCCGGCCCTAATGTTGGCAGTTCTTAATGGAATTTCTTAATGTCTATCAATGACAACATTAAGTTTACCAGCTCTAAGCAGCATTTTTTTTTGAGCAGCATTTAACAAATATTGCCTTCAGTTCTTAATAAGTTAACTAATGACTGTGGAAAGAACAGTGTTAACTTTCCTTTCTCTTTGCAGTTTCTGTCTCCACCCTTTTTTACATTTACTGGCATTAACATTATTGTCAAGTATTTTATAAACATAAGTGAGCATCTTTATATTGCTTTTATAATAAATTGCATACTTAATTTGTCATTCTTAGCCTTTTTGGGATACGCTGTAGAATTAACGAGTGTTTGTCTTTGTCCTTTGTAGATAAAATGGAGCTATTAGAAATAGCAAAAGCCAGCGCAGCCAAGTCGTTAGGAATAGCCAACCTTGACTTGCCAGTTAGTCTCAAAACTGTTCCTGTAGCTAAAGAAAGAAACTGTGAAACAGCTGTACCAAATACTGCAAAGTTTGAGGTAAGTATTCTACATTTATCCAAACAAAACCTTCAGAAAAACTACTGCCAGAGAGATCTTGTTAACCATTTTTATTTGATTTACCTTAGACTAAACTTCTCAGAAAGTCTAGCTAAATATAATTTGCTATGTCAAAATAGCAAATCTGAAAATACTAGATAGGCTCTCACTCATGAAAATGGGAGAGTAATGAGCTTTATTTTTGGTGACCAACTATACCAGATTGGGACTGTCCCTGAAAGTCCCACGTTCCAAGAAACCCTTCCTGGGTGAAGAAAGTCCTGGTTGTCAGCAATGAGTGCCAAAGATGGGGGGAGAGGGAAGATACAAAACCCATATTATTGTCCCCCAAAAAGAGGCTGAAGACAACACCATTTTTAGTGATAAATGAATACAGCGATTGTCTGCCTTCAGTTGGCGATTGATACTGGCAACCATGATTGATTTGTGGTTCACAATAATGTATCCATTGTAGCGTTCTCTCAGAGCAACTCCAGTTCTAATCGTGACTGTTAACAGTCTAGTTAACTGTTGTGCTTTGTATGGAGATAGTGCTAGTTTAATTTTTAACTTTGTGAATATTGTGACCATGTTTTCTAAGAGTTCGAATAATGAAAATGCAAGTGAGTACAATACCAACACCAGCATGACCCAGACAATACCGAAAAAGAAGACTAAACGGCTGTGTTATTTTAACGTCAGATGGAAGGACATATACAGCTGGATTAGGGAGGTAAATAATCCCAACAGAGCATACTGCACAATATGCAGGAAAGAATTTGGGGTTGGGCACGGTGGAGAAGGGGATGTAAAAGCCCATATGGAGACTGAATCCCACAAGTCTGGGATGAGACAAGCGAGTACTTTGGAATCAATTCAAAGTGTTTTTGTCTCCCAAAAAGACACCAATGCTCAATGGAAAATAGCAGCCGCTGAATTAGCTTGGGCGTACCACACGAATGAACATGCATTATCATATCGCTCCCTTGACTGCTCTATGAAACTGAGTAAAGTTACATTTCCCGATTCGGAGGTTGCAACTAAAATGTCCTGTGGGCGAACAAAAGGGGAAATTTTGATCACAGACGTGTTGGCCCCTTACAGTGTAGAGCTGATTCTGTCAGATCTTACCAGCAATCATGCTTTCTATGGTATATCAAGCGATGTGTTGAATCATGGCAATAAAAAAGTGTTCCCCCTAGCTCTTAGGTACTTTGATTTGAAAAATGGAGTTTCAAATCGTCTTCTTGATTTCTATGAAGATTTTAATGAAACCTCAGAAAACATAAAACAAAAGATCATGGATATGCTGTCCAAATACAAACTAGACTTTGCTCACCTATCTGCATATTCAGCAGACAGTGCAGATGTAAATTTCAGCAAATTCCATTCAGTCTATAAACTTCTTACCAAAGAAAATGAAAAGATCTTACCTGCTAAATGTCCTGCACACCTTGTACACAAGACTGCTAAGAAGGGGTGTGATTTGCTTTCCTGTGACATCGAGGCTTTCATAATGAAGATTTTTGGTTACTTTTCAATTTCCTCAAAACATACAGAAGTACTTAATGAGATTTTTGACTTTGTAGAAATGGAAGGAGATAGCCTTCTTAGACATATGCCTACAAGATGGCTGTCATTGTTGCCAGCCATAGAAAAGATGTTAAAATGTTGGCCTACCATAAAATCCTATTTTCAAAGTGTGGGAAAAGAAGAATGTCCTTCTCTAATTTGGAAATACATTGAGGATGAGAATGGAGAAAAAGCTTACAGTACAACAGAAATTTATATGCTGTTTCTCCAAAACTGCTTGATGGTCTTTGAAGAAGCCATAAGGAGCCTAGAAAAGGATAAACTGTCTGCACCTGAGTTATTTGATATTATGTGTAAGTTGCGACAAAAACTCATACGGCGAAAAAATGACTCATTTTTTGGAAAGAAGACTGCTTTAGAACTGAAAAAAACGTCACCAGAAAAGGGTAATCAAATTAAACAAGACTTTCTCAATTTCTTTACTAGAACTATAACTTTTTTGGAATCCAATTTCGATTTCACAAATTCAAATTACCTCTGTGCTTTAAAACCATTTTCCCTGAGAAAGAGAGGTTTAACTTACAATGACATCCAATGTGCTTCAGAATGTTTAAAAATGATGGACATTTTAGACATGGATAACCTCTATGATGAATTTATAGATGCAAAGGACTTGATAGACAAACAGCTGGTCTACCCAAACAAGCCTGTAGATAAAAAATGGATGGACATTTTTGGAGAGCTGGAAGCAAATTCCTACAAGTATAAAAACTTGCTTTTGCTCATAAGTAAAATCCTAAGTATTCCGTGCTCAAATGTTTTTGTTGAGAGGATATTTAGATTGATGTCATCACATTGGACTGACACCAGGAATCAGTGTAATGTAGGCTTGATAAGAGCACAACTGCAAGTCAAAGAGAATTTTCCATTCGACTGTATTCAGTTTTACCACTACATAAAAGAAAAGAAGGATGTCCTGAAGGCTGCGGGCAGTTCAGAGAAGTACTATTGGAAAAGGAAACAGAAAGAGTAAAAATATCCTGTTTCATGAGTTGGAAAGAAACATGCCATGGTTATTTTTTAATATATATAACAATGCCTCTTTAGTTAATCCTATTGTATTTATGTTTTCCTTTTAAAAAGTCTTATATTTCTGCATCTTAATACAGAATAATATAGCCTACAAAATTTTAATATTTAGTAGTTTACAAAAGTTAATTAACTGCTGGATCAGAGAAATGCATAAAAATATTGTTATATATTTCTCATACATTATTTGTTTAATTAATCCTATTATTACTAATTATCACTGTTAAATAGTCCTATTTTGTTTAAATAATAGCATTTATGTAACTGAAAGATAAATAATACAGCATATGTATTTTGGAGTAAACACTTGTGTTCCATATTTTTATGTTAAATAAATAACACTTATGTATAATTATTATCTATTACATTATGGTGTGTGTGTGTGTGTGTTTTGGTTTGTTTTAATTTTGTCCCAGATTGGCTCTCCCTACAATCAGTCCTTTTATCCTTCTTAACTATGGAATTTTGGTCCCTGTTTTAAGAGGATTCTCCCCAACCCTCCCCAATACCAATTATCCTTGGCTAAAGAGAACCACCAAGTAATTACTTTTGGCCAAGGGGATAAGGAAGGGCCTTGTAGGCCGAATTTGGTCTGTTAAAATAAAATGGAGACTAGACTTAAAAATCCCCCAAGCAGACAAAACTAGTTAAGCCATGTAAGCAAAACTTAATCTAGTTTATTTCATGAATGTAAGTGAAACTTAATGTAGATTATTTCTTGTAAATGCCTCTGATAATCATAAATGAAACTTAAATTGTCTTCTTATAGTGGTATAAGATAATCACTTTTAACCAATCCCCTGCCACCTGGAAACCCCCATTGTAACAACCAGTCACTGTAAAGGTTAAACAACTTCCTCAGTCTCTTGTTATAAGCCATCCTGTAGTGACATGCCTTTGTGATTCTTGCCATTTTCAGTCTGAAGTCTCCCAGTTTGCAAGCTGTTCTGTTGTATGCACAATAAACTCTTAACATTTTAATTTGACCTGATTTTATTTTTGGCAGTTTCTGGTGTCAGAAGTGGGATCTGAAGAAGACCCCTGATGAGCCCCGAGGCCAGTGAGTAACCAGGTGATGGTACCTACAGAGCCCATTGTGCTCACTGCTTTCTCACCGACCACGGAGTTCTAGCATAAGTCTATCTTATGGATCTGAGCTCCACTCTCTTTGTGTTTTGAGCTCTTTGACTTTATTGTGCATACCTGTGTTTTGTTCAAGCTTTGGTCACCCTTATGTCTGTAACTCATGATTCCCTGGATTTCTAGACAGCAGTAAAATTCCTGGGCTCCCTATAGATATAGTCATTTTAGGGAATCTAAAGGCAAAGATTAGTTCCACCTGGTCTAAGACTTTTCCCACCTCCCTCAAAAATTCCTGCTTCCTATATGTTTACCCACTTAAGAAACAGGATCTTGTCCCTTTTTGGAAAAATGGGTGCACTCTACATAGGATAACTGGAATTACAGTGGCCACTTTGAGGAACCTTTAACTTAGATAAGATAGTCCACTTTAGGGGTACCTCTGAAAAGAGATGATCTCGACCCTTCAAAAACAATGAAATGCATTCTTTGATTGGTATGGAGGCCTCCAAAAGACAAAATAACTCCAAGATAGCCTCTCTAAAGAAATCATTACAATGAACCAATGAAAAACTTAAGGCTAAAGCTCTGACTGACATGAATGACTCAAGTGACCTCCAACTCATCCCTCTGCTCCTCTTTATCCTCCTTTACCTGATTCTTGTGAACCACTAACCTCTTTGATCTTTTACCCTTTTCCCCCAAATTTCCTGAATATCAGATGTCCTTTAAGATAAGACCTTCTAATGAACCAGGGATACTAGCCTCAGCAGAATTTAAACCCCGGTCTGGAGCCATGCTTTGAGCCATTGAAAATGATTTTTCAGACCTTGAGAAGGACCAAATTAAATTTATAGAAGAATTTAAAATTCTTCTTGGCACCTATGATCTTGGACTCCCTGATTTTTATCAGTCTGTTAACATAATAGTGAGTCCAGGAGATGCTCCCAAATGGCTTCAAGAAACATTGGGAAGTCCCTACCTAAGATTTTGAGGACCCCACCAAACATGCCTCTAGAAATAGAATAAAAAGAGCAAGAAGATAAGTCAACTGCTTCCTGAGGTAGTTCCCAAAGTTTTTCCCGTGAGAATTGATTGGGCCATAATCTAATCCTTTAAACAAAAAATGATGAACCAGTGGCAGATTTCTGAATGCGTTTAGAAGTAGTATTTAGACAACACTTTGGTCTCAAAAACCCTGGGACTAGTTTTGCCTTCTGAGCACATTTTGTTAATGGGCTTCACCCAGAACTCAACGATTTGTTAAAGAAACATAAATTAGAACGGGAAGTCACTCCTCTCCCAGAGCTTCAACATCTTGCTGAACATTTTGAAAGAACAATAGAACAGAAAAAAGGCTATCGAGCAAATAAACTTATGGCCCTACAATTGCAAGAATTACAGGGACCTTGACCCAACTTTGAGAGATCCACTCCTACTCTAAGTTTTGCCCCTATTAGTAAAGAAACTTATCAATACTGTAATCAAAAGGGACATTGGAAAAAGAACCACCTACTTTTAAATAGAGGGCCAATTAAACAATCCACTTGCCTTATAAGAGAGAGCCCTCAACTCCCAGATTTTTGTGGTAACTGTCAACAATGACAGGGCTCTGAGAAATTGCCCAGTGGGCTGCTTCCAACAATTCCTTTAAATCAACAAGGAAAATTAAACTAAACTTAAATGGAGAAATTTCTACCATGTTCATAGATACTGGAGCAGCTCTATTTACTTTAAACCCACCATGATACATGCAGAACTTCCTTGGAGTAATAAAAATATCTTAGCAGTGGGAGTTTCCAATCAAGTTCAAAGAGTTACTTTATTAGAACCCGTAACTGTTACCCTTGGCTGTTTCATATTATGTGATACTGCCCCTGTGAATTTTCCTAGGTAGAGAGACCTTCTTTCTAAATTAGGAGGCCAAATAAATAACCTTACAAGAAATAACCTTAGAATAACCTTAGAATTTCCAGACTCATCAGACGCTGAAGCATTTTGTGTTCTCCAAGCCCAGACTGATTGTCCTGAGGAGACTATTAAATTCCATAAAAGTATAGATGCTATAGATCTCTCTGAAATCCTCATACTCTGTGGGCCTCTTCTTCCACAGATGTGAAAAAAATCAAAAGTGCCAAACCCATTAAAATTCAGATTGATCCTTCTAAACTGCTTCCTAAGTTGCCTCAGTACTCCTTAAAGCCTGAAGCCATACAAGGGCTCACCCCTATAACAGAAAATTTAGTAAGTCAGAGGCTTATTATTCCCTGTACCAGTTTTTGCAATACTCCTATCTTGCTTGTAAAGAAACCCCATAGACGGGGATGGAGAGTTGTACAAGACCTTAGAGCCACAAATAAGATTGATACTGAAGTTTCCGGTGGTACCAAACCTAAATACTTTGTTGGCAAATATGCCAGCAGAATCCAAATAGTTTATGGTTGTGGTAAACCATTCTCTACTTTATTTAGCATCCTAGTAGACAAAGTAAGTCAATATTTATTTGCTTTTACTTGGAAAAATCAACAGTATAATTGGACTGTAATGCATCAGGGATTTTACTGAGGTTCCTTATACTTTTCACAAGTTTAACAGCAGGATTTAAACACTCTGCTGCGATTTCTCAGAAATTCTACCTTGATTCAGTATGTAGATGATTTGGTTCTTTGTTCCTCATCTAAAGAGAACTCAGGAATCGATTCAACATATCTGTTACAACAACTGGCTTATAAAGGCCATAAGGCCTCTCAAGATAAGCTTCAGTTCTCATGAGAGATGGCTCATTATCTAGGTCATGACTAATCTGCAAAAGGAATCTTTTTGTCTTCAGAAAGAATAAATACCATTCAAAATTATGCTAGACCTGTGAGGATTCCTTGGCCTTGTGAGATATTGTAGATCTTGGTCTCATATTTTTCATTATTGGCTTCCCTGCTCTATGAGATAACTAAAAATAGTGCCAAGAACCTCTTCTTTAGGAAATAAAACATGAGGAAACCTTTGCTGAACTCAAATGGGCTTTACAAAATCCTCTTACATTAGAGCTCCTCAGCTATACTAAACTTTTCACATTGTTCATCCATGAACAGAACAATTGGGCTTTAGGAGTCCTCAAAAACGTGGAGGGAAAAATAGATCTATAGCCTATTACAGCCTGCAGTTGGACCCAGTAGCCAGGGCATATCCAAATTGTTTAAAAGCGGTAGCCCAGCCACTAAAATTGTAGAATCTTCCTCGGAACTCATTCAGGGAAATTATTTATACCTACAGGTTCCTCATGCTGTAG